AAATTGGCACATTAAGCTCATTTCATTGTGTATCAACAGACTGAGTCAAACTACAGGATCAACACAAATAAAATCTATTACTGAACAACTAAATACTATAATGGACTAACATCAATAAAAATCACACATAATCAGAAATGTCAGTGAAATGGAAATTTTATTTGCATCATTATACAGAGCCTACACAACTTTTATGTTGCATATATAATAATAATGCAGTTATAAATGAATATCTTTTGTTACATATTTTTGTTGCATATAAAAAAAATCAATGTAAGACTAAAGTGACTAAATACTTTTGCTATTCTCCAACAAAACAGGAAAAAACATCTCCACAAATCTTGTTCACAGCGAAACTAATCATTTGCGCTAATCTCATGTTTACTGAATCTGAATCTCACATTATTTACTTGAAATACTGAATCTGTAGAAAACATTTGCTCACTCTGACACAGAACAATGCTTTTTAATATGAGTCACAAGAATCACTGACTGAGTGAAACTCTTTCCACACTGAGTACAGTGGTACGGTTTCTCTCCAGTATGAACTCGCTCATGTGTTTTCAGGTGTCCAGACTGAGTGAAACTCTTGTCACAATATGAGCACTTGTAAGGTTTTTCTCCAGTATGAATTCTTTGGTGCTGTTTCAGATCATGAGCTGTAGTAAAGCTCTTATCACACTCACAACACACATGATCTCTCACTTCATCATGTGTTTTCTGGTGCTGTTTATAACTGGCCAACCATGAAAAACTCTTTCCACAGTAAGAACACACATGAGGCTTCTCATCTGAATGAACTGTCAGGTGTTCCTTTAGATGTGATGAAGAAATAAACTTTTTACCACACTGATCACAGTTAAAAGGCTTTTCTCCAGAGTGAACGTGCAGATGATAACTGAGACCTGATGCTGCAGCAAAACTCTTTCCACACTGAGGGCATGTGTACGGTTTCTCTCCAGTGTGGATCCTCATGTGCTGTTTAAGGCTTTTTTGTCTGAAACTCTTTCCACACTGTGAGCAGGTGTGAAGCTGTTTGTTTTTTTCTCTAGAAGTTTTGATTTTACAACGTTCCTTCTCCACTTCATTCACCTCATGTCTTTGCATTTTTACTTCCATCCAGTCTAAAATAAACAAATGATGTGGTTAAAATCAGTTCAAGTGAACCTGATTAAATAGCAGAAACCAAAAAAGGTCACATATTTATCTGAGTATGAAGTATCAGATCTTTGATGTGTCAAAGGTTAGTTCTGTCATTCCTTGTTAATAAAATTAAAATGTGGATATGATCAGTTAGATGATAATTTATCATTGCTCATTTAGTTCAGAGCCACTAAATCTTTTTAACAGAAGCTTTGGTGTTTGTCAGCAGTCAACAATGAAGAATCAAGAATGGACACCAACCTGTTT